CCTGGACTGAGTCTACCAGGTTGGTCCCAGTCCTCGGGGGAGGCTTTGCTCTGGAGGAAGTGGGATTGGGGGGTGGGCTGGAGGGAAGGGGAGGAAGTGGGAGGGGGGAGAACAGGGGAACCTATGGCTGATATGTAGAACTGAATGGTATTGTAAAATAAAATAAAAGGAAAAAAAAAAGGTTCTGGAGAGAGAGCTTAGTCAGTAATATGTCTGCCATATAAAAGCACGGATTTAATCTCTCAGAATCCACATTTTTTTTTAATCCAGATGTGGTGGTACATTGATTATTATCCTAATGCTAGAAAGGCAGAGGCAGGAGAATTCCTGGAGCTCACTGGCCAACCAGCCTACCCTAATCAGCAAGACGCAGGTACCAGGGAGAGACCCTGTCTCAAATACCCAAGGTGGATATCTCCTGAGAACCAATATCTGAGGTCAACCTCTGGCCTACACACACACACATACACACATAAACATGTGAAACTGTATACACACAAAGTGCATATTTACATGCCTGCACACACATATACACAAATGCATCGTTTATATTCACAGTGACTTTCTCACCTCAGCAAAACACACTAGTGTCTCTGCTCCATAAAGCACTGGGGCTGCCATGGCCAGCAGAAGGAAAGTCCCCAAGGAGGCACACTGTCATGAGCGATGTCCAGAGCACCCCCAGAGTTCATTCTCCACCCCCACCGCCCACCCCCCACCGCTCCACTCTGAGATCCCTGTATTTTTGCCCGGGAAGAGCATCCCTGCCCTCCCCACCCACCTGTCTGGAGCCTCTCGGTCCCCAAGCACCATGCCAGATGTCACCTTGCTCCACTTCCTCAGTGGTGACCCCAGACTCCCGGGGGCTTCCAGGCCCTAAAGCAGAGAGCACACATTAAGACCCAGAGCCTCATTTCAGTTCAGAGTTGGGCTCCAGCCCCTACCCAGGACTTCAGCCCAGGCTCTCGGAGCATTTCAAGGAATTAGGGGTGAAGAGGCAAATAGGTCCCTCCAGCCTCATCTACCCATGGAGACAGTGTGCAGGAACTCCCCCAAACAACCAAACAGGAACCAAGGTCAGCTAGAAATATTCCCCAACATTGCCAGCACCCCAGCCAGGAGCAAAGGTGTCCCATACCTAACCTCTTCTCCCTGGCATGGTCTCTGTCCCAGGTAAATGCCGGCAAGCTGCCCAGAGCCAATGCCATCTCACCCCCCTGGGCCCAGGGGCACCCACCCACCCACCTGTTGACGGGCAGTAGGCAGGCAGGGGTAGCAAAGAACCCCAGTCTCAAAGGCTTGGCTAACCCCCTTGTCACCCACCCAGCACATACCCCAGCCTGGACGGTGCTGGGAACAAAGGTGACGATGCCGGGGCTCCTCCGGGAGACCACAGGGATGGCCTTGCCCAGGATGGCCTCTCTCTGCTTCCGATACACCTCCTGCAGCCTCTGGTTCCGCAGCTCCAGCGCCTGTGCAGCCAGGGCCTTCTGCTCCATGGCCTGCTGCCGACGGGCCCGGGCCTTCTGACGCATGAAGTCCCGCAAGGACTCAGAGCTGTGTGGCTGGCCCAGAGACCGCTGTGGCCTCGGGCAGGGTGGGCTCTCCTGCATGTCCTGCTCCTTTGCTGGTTTGCTCTGAGGGAAGCCCTGGGCAGTCTCTGGCCAAGCTAGCTTGACTTCTGAGAGGGGAGGGACAACACATTCGTCCTCGCTGTGGAGACTGGATCTCTGCACAGGAGAACTACTCCAGGGCTGCTGGAGCGCGGGGTGTGGCCTAGCCACAGAGCTCCACGGACTGGACCCAGGCACCTCCCAGCCTTTGCAAGCTGTGTGAGTCCTCTGTGAACAAGCCTGGCCAGCCAGAGCACTCCAGGGCCGCTGGGAGAAGGGACTTGGCTTTTTAATAGGGCTCCCGGACCTCTGGAAGGAGGTATCCTGTCCCTGAGCTTCCCAGGCCCTCTGTGGGCAGGTCTGCCAAGCCAGGGCACTCCAGGGCCGCTGTGAGAAGGGACTTGGCTTTTCTGGGGTGCTTCCAGGCCCCTGGAAGGAGGTGTCTTGCCCCTGTGCTGTCCAGGCCCTCTGTGGACAAGACTCCTGCTCAGCCACTGCTTCCTTGTGTTGCTGGCTGTACAAGTCTCTAGCCCTATCCAAGGAAGGGCATGTCCCTTCTGTCGCAGCCCAAGCACTCTTTGAGAAGGAGCCCTGCATGTCCCAGGCGCTCTGGGGCCCCTGCTGCCTCTTCCCTGCCGGGTTCTGTGGCTTTGATGACAAGAGCTTCCTGGGCCGCCTGGCAAGCTCCAGACCAGCCTGGATTTGCCGGCGCAGGTCTTGGAGGATCTCCATGGCGCCTTGGATAGTTGCGGACTGATCATGGATAGCCAGGCTGGGCGTGTGCTCAGAAACCTGCTGGTCACGGTGGGCATGGGTAGGCTTAGGCAACCAGGTGTGGGCAGGTGAGTCCCCAACAGCTCCTGCTTTCTTGCCAGAGCCTGCAAAGATGGGCAGTGAAGGAGTGTTGGGGTCTGTGGGCTGGAGCAAAGAACAGACCTGCTCCTCCATTCAGGGGGCATCACGGGGTGACCAAGGAGGCCCGGGCTTGGCCCCACAAGCCTCAGCCCTCATGATCAGCACACAAAGAAGGGCAGGGGCTGCTTTTGAGTGAACAACCTGCTCCACGTGTGTTGATGGGGTACACATGGAGAGGTGGCGGGGGTCCGCCACGGGAGTGGCCATTCCCTTCACCTGCTCTCTTCACAAAAGCCCAAGGAGTATCTCTGCTCCCAAAGCTGAGAAGAGCCTTTCCCTTCAGGCTTGTAAAAGTAACTATCCCCAAATTTCCATCTTTGAGGGAAATGTCAAAAGGCTACCGCCCTCCCGGGCAGCACAGGAATCTCCTCTGTGCCCACCCAACAATGCCACAGCAAAACACACCAAGCTAAGGCTGAGGCATGAGGTACCTAATTCCGGGGCAGGGGCCTTGCTCTGGAGCCGGGAGAGGGCAGGAGGGGGGCCAAGCAGCCGCCTCACCAGGGCTTGTCCTTTCCTCCAGGCGTACACACCAGTCAACTCAGAATCTTAAACAGAAAACACACAGCCGGACCGCGGCCCTCAGACCCCTGGCAAGGATTCATACCACTTCTGCACACAATTTGGCATACCCGGCAAGGGCTCACAGGGAAACCCCTCACATCCAAACCCCTGTGGGAACAAAGCCAGATGTTTAGTCACGAGCCAGCCTGGGTGCGGTGCTTCTCAGAGTGACTGATGGTGAACCCCCAGGATCCTGCTCAATAGAGGAGGTAATAAAAACTCTCCGCTAACAGCTCTACCCGAGAGCTGCTCGACACCAGCCCAGGCACACAGCCTCGTCAACCAGGAACAAATGCAAGGCCACAGCCTCAGGTGACATCTGCAGCTGGCCACTCAGCCAGCGGCTCATGCCAGGGCCACAACAGCAGCAATGCCGTGACCACATACCTTAGCTGAGAGACTGATACGCTCTGAAGCTGGTCAGAGTCACAGCAGTGGGACCAGGATCAGAGATGGCTTTAGGCCTCCTTAATGGTACAGGAATAAATGACCAGCACAGCTGAGCTTCCCTTACCAGACACTGTCCTATGATAAACAGGATTATTCAAGGTTTTACTTCATAATCTCAGATCGTATCCGCCAATGCCAACACTGACTGGCCATCACCACAACCCCAGTCACAGGGCCCCACAGAAACAGGAAGCATTCACTTATCATAGTTTACACAATTCTTTCTAGAAGGCCACCTTATGGGACAAACAATCCACACTCTGCCCCATCACAGTAAGGTCACAGTTTTATTATACAGGCTGCCACAATGCTCACACACAGAGTCACAATCTACATGTTCACATGCTTACACACACTCACACAGGTTCACAGCTCACATATATCCACATACTCACGTACCCACATGCTCATACACAGGCTCACATGCATTCATATATGCTCATTCACGTTAGCATACTTGCTTACATATTCACACATGCTCATAGGCTCACAAATGTGCACTCACTCATTCACATACATGATCACACACTCAAATATACAAGCAACCACATACGCATGCTTTGTACACTCACATATGTGCAATACACATCTACACACAGGCTCTCACACACACATGCTCACAGACACAGACATACTACTGTGGGTCCAGCCAGCTCTGAAAAATTCAGACCACACCTGGTGTATTCCCAATTACTGCGCTCACGTTCCTGCTCAAGGTGACACTATCTGAGGCTTGGGATCACATCTCCATGTGGACTCAGCCAGGACTTGCCCTGTTTCCTAAGGGTAGCACATCACAGCTCGGACTGTGGGCACTGTCCAGAGCACTGACCCCTGAGGGCAGTCTACCTGAGTTAAGGCCTTCTCCACACTCCTCCCTCCACTGACCTGACAGTTGTGATTCAAATTAGCAGTCGTCCATAGTTTAGAAACTATGTCACTGGGGACTGGGAGATGGCTCCGCAGGAAAGAGCTCTGGCCGCTCTTCCAGAGTCCTGGCTTTGATCCCAGCACTCACATGGCAGCTCACTAACTGCAGTTCTCAAGAAGCTGACACTCTCTTCTGGCCTTCTCAGGCACCAGGCATGCAGGTGGTGCACAGACGTACACGTAAGCAGAATACCCATACACATAAAATTTAAAAATAGTATTTCTAAAATTTAAAAACATCTAGAAAAGTAGTTAAATCATGATAGTTGTAAAATATTCACCTATCCAGTCCAAAGAAAAACAAAGCCCTATATTACACAGACTGAGTGATCTCTTCAGACCGAAAGCACTCTGCTGAGATGAACTGTTTTGAGCCACTCAATTCTCCAGGCCTGAAACCACCTTTCCTGGGCAGAGGATGGGCTGCACCTAGCCACACCCTCCATGGGGACAAGGCTTCCAGGCCATGCTTTCTCTAGGCCCCAGCTTCTTAAACTATAGGTCTTGATCCGATATGGGGCCGCATACTCCCAGACACAGACATAGCACTGTGGGCCCAGCCAGCTCTGCAAAACTGAAAATGTGGGGGTAGGAAAAAATGGCAAGAGTAAAAGGTTTCTAAACACACAGCATCTGTGGCAGTTTTGATGCAACTGGCCCCTATAAGATCATAGGGAGGGGCACTATGCAGAGGTGTGGCTTTGTTGGAGGAAGTGCGTCACTGTGGGGGGGGGTGTTGTGGAATAATATAAAGATGTGTTACATTTGTTTATGCTGCAAAGATGAGCTGCATTCTTTTCTGTTGCATTTTTTCACTCTGTGAAGCTGTGTTACTTTGCCTGTCTAAAACACCTGATTGGTCTAATAAAGAGATGAATGGCCAATAGCTTGGCAGGAACGGCTAGGTGGGGCTGGCAGGCAGAGAGAATAAATGGGAGGGGAAATCTAGGAGCAAGAGAAGGAGCGAGAAGAGATGAGGTCAGCCACCCAACCACACAGCCAGACACGGAATAAGAAGGGAAGAAAAGATAAACAGAAATAGAGAAAAGCAGGGTTGGGGATTTAGCTCAGTGGTAGAGCGCTGGCCTAGCAAGCACAAGGCCCTGGGTTCGGTCCTCAGCTCTGGAAAAAAAAATAGAGAAAAGCCTAGAAGCAAAAGAAGACAGGATAATTTAAGAAAAGCTGGCTAGAAACAAGCCAAGCTAAGGCCAGGCACTCATAAGAAAGAATAAGGCTCCGTGTGTACTTATTTGGGAGCTGGGTGGCAGGCCCCTCAAAGAGTAAAAACAACCAACAACAGGTGGGCTTTGAGGTCTCCTATGCTCAAGCCATGCACAGTGTGACAGTTCACTTCCTGTTGCCTGCAGATCAAGATATAGAAATCTGAGCTCCTTCCCCAGCTCCATATGTGCTGTATGCCACCGCGTCCCACCATGATGACAATGGACTAAACCTTTGAAACTGTAAGCCATCTCAATTAAATATTTTCCTTTATAAGAGTTGCTGTAAGCTGTGGTGGCGCACACTTTTAATCCCAGCACACGGGAGGCAGAGGAGGCAGAGGCAGGCGGATCTCTGTGAGTTCGAGGCTAGCCTGGGCCTGGATGGCAGAGCACATCCATATAGCACACTCGGAGCACATAATTACTTTTGCCCTTGCCTGAAAAGTCTGCCTGAGGCTAAAGTGAAGAGTTTTGGATTAATGGCATTGGCTAAGGGAATCTCAAAACAGCCTAGTACAGACTCTGTTGTATGGTTATTAGTGTTAACTCTAATAAAGATTTATAATGAAAAGGAGCAAGCTGGGCAAGGAAAAATACAAAATCTACAGATTGAGAAAAGGGGCACCAGGAAGTGGAACAGAGCTAAATCCTGTTTTCTAGGAGACAAACAGATTAAGATGTGGAATAAAGGGAGTGGTGACCTCAGGGCAAGATTCCAATTTGTGAAAAGGAATTAAAGAAAAGCTTAGAGCCAGGTGTGGTGGTGCACACCTTTAATCCCAGCACTCAGAAGGCAGAGAAAGCTGGTGGATCTCTTTGTTTGAGGCCAGGCTGGTCAATAGATCAAGTTCAAGGACAGTCAAGCTTAGACAGTGAAGGAAACCATGGAAAACAGACAGCTGGTGAAGAAGTAGTGGAACAAGAGGACCATGCTCCAGTCTAAGCGAGCAGCAGAGCTCCAGGATTCTGGCTTTAGAGTCAAGGACAGACAGTGGCTCACGGCTGCCTGGGACTCCAGTTCCAGGGGATCAGCCACCCTCTTCTGGCTTGTACATGGTGTATATACGTTCTTGCAAGTAAAACACTCATTGTAAAATAAACTTAAACAAAAAACCTGCTAAGCAGACTTTGACTAGGGATTAGGACAGAATTTCCAGCAGTTTCTAAAATAGCCCTAGATACACTCCTGGCACATATTTATGTAGAAAATCAATCAACTCTGAAAAACCTTGAGGATGCTTTTGCATCCTGCAGTATCAAATATTCAGGAAAGATTTAATCCTTTATGCAAAATAGGCAAATAAATAATCACAGGCATCCCATTAGTATGCAAATGTGCTTTTGTTTTAATAGATGGTTGCATAACTGAACAGAGACAGTTCAAGACATTCCTGCTGCAGATCAGGTCACCAGGCCAAGGAGGGTTAACCGTGGGGCCTCATAGGCCCAGATCTGGGGCTAATCCCAGCTGCTGTTCATCAGCTATGGCTAGAGGGCTAGTGCCTACACTTCTCCATCTGTAAGAGGTGAATGTGTCTAACAGTGCTTCACAACAGGGCCAAGGATGGCTACTGCCTTCACAGGCAGGCGGGGACATGAGCAGAATTCTGCAGTCTTAGGGTGAGGTTGCTGGTGGGGCTGGCCACATCCAGGTTTCAGTAGGGAGGGGGATGGTTGAGCTCCCCAAGAAGGCATCTCAGTCCTGCTCTTACGTGCTGCACTCACCTGGTCATATGCTCTCTCTCTCCCTCCGCCAGGCACTGGGCCAGAGGCCCCACGTAGGGAGGACAGCCCCCTCTGGCTTCTCTTGCAGCCATCCGGCCTCCCCATTAGCCCACCAGAGGAGCCCTGGTCGATAAATGGGTCCTGATGGGCACATTTTTTTCTTCTGCTGAGCAGTTTAATGACAATTAATTTTTTTACGGGAGGATTTTTAATCTGTGGAAATGGATGGAGTCCCCAAGTGCCCTGTCAAAGCTCTAGACCGACCTAATCTATGATAAAAAATGCAAAGCGAGGTGATATAATCTGAAATTAAATATCGGGCTTCATTTTCCTTTGGCCCGGATGGATGAATATTTTATAACTATTGTGATTTAATTTTTTGTTAACTACAGCAAATTTCTAATTCATCCAATTCCCAAGTCCTGTGGCTCTGACCCCTGAACCCAAACTCATCTCTCCTTAGCCCAGCTGTGGCTTCGTCACTGACAGAAACTAATGGTCACTACCGTCAGGGTGACACGGCGACTTCGATGATGAATGCAGCCAGTGGCATGCCCTCTGACCCTGTGTCAGCCAGACGGCAGGTCATTTTTCAAGCAAGCCATTACAACGAAACAACAAAAAGCCGGGGACGAGGGAGATGATCCTGCAGAAGATGGTTGCAGTTGCGCATTTTCAGGGGACCTTCCAGAACCTTCTTGGAGTTTCAGTGTCTCTTACTCTTGGGTTCCAAAGGCGCCCTTCTCACCCTGTGTCACCTCTGGCCGGCTGGAGGGCTTGTGTGCACCCCCTGCTAAGCACCCAGTGGGCTAGGCAGAGACTCCTCATTCTAGAAGACACAGCTTTGCTTGGGAGCAGAGGAAGCAGGGTTACTGAGTAGAAATGGAGAGTATACACAGAGTACACACTACCCATGCTGGTGGGTCCAGAATGGCGACCTCATGGGGATGGGGGAACTGAGACAGGGCAGAGGCAACTCAAAAAGTACTCCCAGGCCCTCCTATGTGGCCTTTATACTTAGTCCTGCCAAACTGACCTCAACCTCAGTGGTAGTGATCCCCCCACTTGGGAAGTCTTAATGGTATTGCTGTAGCAGAAGGCCTCAACAAGGGCTCAGGCATGGTCTCAAAATACACCTGGCTCTCCAGCAGGAAGCAGAGGCCTGGGACTAGATGGGTCAGGGCCTATGTGGCCCTGAGCAGGCTGCCAAACCTCCCTGGGCTTCAGTTTCCACATCTACAAAATGGGAACCAACCTACCTCGCTCTCAGCCCACCTCCTAGACCCTTCTTGACTCCCAACAATCTCAAAACACATCTGGCCTTTCTTTGGAGTTCATGGATCCAGCTAGATGGAGGGGGCTCTTCTGTTCACCCCCACAAGCCGTAGAGGCAGCAAGCTGGCTGGGAGGCTGGGTGTCTATAAGGACCCAAGCTCAGGAAAGGAGGGGTCCTAGTTAGAAACCCACCAGTCCCAGCTGCTGCCCACGGGGTCACTAACTAGCTCCCCTGATTTGATCCCAAATCAGGGAAGGCACGCCCTCTTCCTGGAAGGGCAGCAAAGCGTCAACACACCTCAGACAAGAGGAGAGGCTGGGCTTCCACCTTCCCCTGTCTTTCCAACATGTTACTGCTCTGAAGAACAGCGGGCTGATAACATTTGGAGTGTGGCCAAACTGCTTCTTGTCATCCCAGTCTGCAGGAGCTTAAGGGACAGCTCCCATCACTTGGGGAGTTGCGGACTCCCTCTTCACAGCAAGGAATCCTCGGATCCCAGGGCCCCCACGCCTCCTTGCGTGTGGCCGAGCTGGCAGCCAATGTCCCCAGCACAGCATCAAGAGCCTTGTGTCACCCTCACCAGCTAGAATCACAGACTCGGTGGTCCCCAGGAGCAAGCCTCACCTCTGCCTTTGGCAGGTCTGCGGGGGACAGATGACTTTGGAATCTCTCTTTTGTAAGAACCACTTCTGATCCTTTTGATGTTTGTCCTTGGAACTGAGAGAGGAGAGGGGGAAAGAGGGAGGGGGAACCTTAATCAGACAACCTGCAAGTAGGCAACATGTTCGCCTTGACGCCTGGGTTCAGGTTTGCTGAGTGAACAAATGAGTGAATGAGCCAAGCCCCAAGGGAATCCAGGTATAGCATCTTTGCCCTGGACATGACTCCTACGAGGGAAGGAAGACGAGGCTGGAACTGACTGACAGACGTGGTAGCATCACTCTGATGGAAGAGAGACCCTTCAAAGCCCCACAGCAAGTTCAGTTGCCAACTAGGGTAAACTCGTTCATTTGGGAGGCTGAAGCAGGAGGATGAGTTCAAGGCCAACCCAAGCTATGTAGTGAGGTCCTGTCTAAACAGGAAAGAGGAAGAGGACTAAGAGGAGAAGAAAGAGGAAGAAGAGAAGCAGGAGAAGGAAGTAGAGTGTGTGTGTGTGTGTGTGTGTGTGTGTGTGTGTGCGGACCTGTCCTGTGGGATCCGTCATGTGACATGCCCAGCGTCATCAGCTCTACAGAGACAGGAAGCAGAACAGGTACAAGGCTTTCCTGCATATCCTGCTTCCAGAGGAAGAGGGAAGGAAATGTGACGGTCAACAACTGGGGACCAGGGGGCCTGGGAGGGCTGTGACTTCTGCATTCTGAACTTGACCTGTAGCCCAGTAGCCCAGTAGCCCAGTAGCCACATTCGTAGTATGGAAGAAAAGATAGATGGCTTATCGCCAGGCGGTGGTGGCGCACACCTTTAATCCCAGCACTCAGGAGGCAGAGGCAGGTGGATCTCTGTGAGTTCAAGGCCAGCCTGGTCTACAGAGCGAGATCCAGGACAGGCACCA